GATAAACAAATAAAGTAGTGGAATTAAATGGAAAATACTTTAAGAGATGAACTAGCCTATGGCTAAAAATCTCTATAATAAAGAAAAAAAAAATGGAAAATACTAATCCTTCTCTTTTTCATTATACAGGTATTCCACTAAGACGCCCACATTCATCAGGATTGTAGAACGATGCACAACACTTGTCACGATTCTCTCCAATTCCCGTTCAGCAGAAAAAGCATACGAAATGAGCGCTTCTTATTCGCTTTAGCCAATCCATGCTTCGGAAATGGAGATAGCAGTGGAAAAAGCTCTGAGGTCCGATAATCACAACGTTCATGGTTCAAGTCCCAGTCGGCAACATTTTTACCCTTCTTACAAAGAAGGGTATAGATATCACTTGAAAAACCGACTATCGATCCGAGGCCCGAAGGGCCGAGTGTCATATACCATTCGACTCAGATCGACGAGATCGGAACATGTATGTGTGTGTGTGTGTGTGTATGTGTGTGTGTGTGTGTGTGTGTGTGTGTGTGTGTGTGTGTGTGTGTGTGTGTGTGTGTGTGTGTGTGTGTGTGTGTGTGTGTGTGTGTGTGTGTGTGTGTGTGTGTGTGTGTGTGTGTGTGTGTGTGTGTGTGTGTGTGTGTGTGTGTTTTTTTTTTTTTTTTTTTATAGTAAGGTTTAGGAAAGCTTCAAGAAGCCTGGCCTGTAGTGAAGGTGGCACGGTGTGGTATCCACTAGATGCCTAGTGCAGCTCCACTAAAACCCATTCCTTACTCTCTCCTCTGCCTGGATACCCCCGGGACCACTGTGAAGCGACTACTTCGGGGGGTGGCTGTGCTCATGCACTTGTCGTACTCTCAGCGCTAGCTGGCGTTGCTAGATCGCTGCTCTTCTCTCCATTTACGCTGCAGCTCTGACATAATCTGTGTGACTGCCCTGCTGACGGCATTCCAAGAGTCCTCCTCTCGACACATTTCATCAACGACATTCTCCACGTTAAGGACGGGCATCTCCGTTCGCACTGCCTCGAACCTTGGACAGTCAAAGACCACATGCTCCGGCGTTTCATCGACGTTGCCACACTCCGGACAGAGGGGTGACGCTGCGTGTCCGAACCGATGCAGGTATTTCTTGAAGCAGCCGTGGCCAGACAGGAACTGCGTTAGGTGGAAATTGACTTCCCCGTGTTTTCTGTTCACCCAGGTCGAAAGAATCGGTATTAGTCTATGTGTCCATCTACCGTTCTCCGTCGTGTTCCACTCCTGTTGCCACTTAGCCAATGACTCCACTCTCACAACTTTCCGTACTCTTCCGGCTTCTCTCTGCCTGTAGCACTCACTGTCCTCCGCCAGGGTGATGCCGATAGGGATCATACCGGCGATAACGCATACTGCTTCCGACGAGATGGTTCTGTACGCACTCACGACTCGCATGGCCATGAGCCGGAACGTACTGCTCAGTTTCCTTTGGTTCTGCTTCGTTTCCAGCGCTGGAACCCAGGCTGGACCTCCATATCTCAGTATCGATGATGACACGCTGGCCAGAAGACGCCTCTTGCTACTGCTGGGACCAGCGTTGTTCGGCATGATTCTAGCTATCGCGTTGATGGCCTTCGAAGCCTTCTCACAGGCATATTCGACGTGGCTGTTGAAGTTTAGCCGGTCATCGATCATCACTCCCAGGTATTTTAACACACGCTTCGAGGCTATGGTGTGCTCCCCGACGGTGATTTCCGCCCGCTGTACCGCTTTACAGTTACTGACCAATAACACTTCCGTTTTGTGGTGGGCTATTTGCAGCTTCGCTCCTTTCATCCAGTTACCAATCATGTCGATTGCCTCGGTTGACAACACTTCCACCTCTTCCAGCGTCTCGCCTGTTACCGTCAAGACGACGTCGTCCGCAAAGCCAACGATCTCAACTCCTTTGGGCAGTTTAAGCGTTAGCACGCCGTTGTACATCCCGTTCCAGAGCGTTGGACCAAGGATGGAGCCTTGTGGAACTCCCGCTGTGATCCTAATCGATCTCTGTCCCATGTCTGTCTCGTAGACCAGAACCCGGTTCTGGAAATAACTCCTCAGGATCCTGCACAGGTAGTCAGGGACCCTCATTCTATGCAGTGCTTCGGCGATGGCCTCCCAGCTGGCGCTGTTGAACGCATTCTTGACGTCGATCGTTATGACGGCGCAATATCGATCTCCTCTCCGCTTCTGTTTGGACGCCTTTTCAGCTCTCTCGACCACTGTCCGAATTGCATCCACCGTCGATCTCCCTTTCCGGAATCCGAACTGCCTCTCCGACAATCCGTGCTCACTCTCCGTGTATTTCGTCAGCGTGTGTGTGTGTGTGTGTGTGTGTGTGTGTGTGTGTGTGTGTGTGTGTGTGTGTGTGTGTGTGTGTGTGTGTGTGTGTGTGTGTGTGTATGTGTGTGTGTGTATGTAACGAAATGAATGCGCTCACGTTTCTCAGCAACCACTCAACCGATTTGGACAAACTCGGCGCCAATCATAAACTAACAAAATCATAGAACAGCAAAAGCATGGTCTTTGGAATGGTTTTCTATTCAAAATTGCTCATAAAATAATAAAAATTGGTTCGAAAGTTGTTGTTAAATTATTTTTGTCAATTTTCGAGTATCCAATTCGTTAATTTCTGAGAAGAAAGCATTTTTCATTAGCTTTTTAATGAAATATTGATTAGGGTTATTTAAGTTATTTAAGAATTACATTTTTATATTTTTTACACAACATTACTTCGATTGATGTAGTGTTAATGAAATGTAATTATTTTTTACTACAACTTTGTGTCAGACATGATTTCGATTGAGAGTGCTGTTTTAGAGTTATGATTTGTTGAAAAATATCGAATATGCCATTTTGAAGCCATGGTCAAATTTTCGCTCAAACATGAATGACTGACCATAACAAACAGTTATGCAAAGCTTCACACAAATCGGAGAAGCTCGTATCAGATCGATTCATCATTTGAGGTAGAACTACTCACTGGGGGAAAGTGAACTTTTTGTTCACCTCGTCCTAACCTTTCACGATAATGATTTATAGATATACTTGCTGTTTGTACTTATAGGAAATATTCTCTGCTATAACTTTCCTGAAGACCACTGTTCGTACAAGCGACATTTATCCCCTTTTACCCTGAGTTATGGAATAATTAATTTTCCTACCAATAGATGTCATCTTTCGATTATGTCATTTGTCCAGATTATAATGCTATTGAAATCCTGTATGCAACATATGGCATATGGTATACATATGATGGTGTACGTTATAGTAATTCCTACGTTGTTTACAATGTAAAAGGCGAACGGGTTTCTCGCCATCCTGCGATGGCGGAGGCATATGAACTATTGATTTATTGGTAATAAAAACAGAACACAATACAAAAGCAGACATACTTGTGTACACAGCTAGTTGATTAGCTGCACATATAATTGAAATTCTCACATGCAACCACTTTTTAACGTCAGGATAATTATTTATTTATTTATTAATAAGGACGATGATATTCTTCTGACACACTCCATTCACTGCTCAGCAGGCAACATTGGTGTGTCTGGCGCAAAGAAAAGGGCCGATTTAATCCAGGCTACTATAGCATAGTGCAAGATGCAGTGATGCCCTGAAATCAATCGATAAATTATTTCAGAAACTTATTGGTTTCAAAATCAATCAACTAATTTTCTTGGCGTTCAATCAAAATTGTGGCAGCGAAAATTTGCTAGAAGTAAGTATTATAACTATATTTCGCATATGAACTTCAAAGGGCCAGTGCAATGTGAGATCACAATCAAATTTAGGAAGAATGACCAGGACCTGATTAAGAATCGAATGAGCGTTGTAGAGCAAAATCAATATTTTGAACCATCCATATACTCATTGCATGATTTATTAATACATCAAATTTTAGTTTTGCATGCATTATTTTGTAAATAGATTTATCAATATGCATAACAAAAATCTGCCAAATAAACTGCATTTTCAAATAGTTAAACTTCAATACTAAAAATTGAATTTCTCGAAAAATTCCGCCCAACAAATGTGTATAATAAATGTTTATGGAAAAAAAACCAAAACCTTAATGCGTGCTCTATCCACAATTATTTCATCGGTTTTCACCGAACAACAATAAACATCTTCCACAAATCATCAATTTAAAGAGACATATTCTACCTTCAGAGCAAATTAAGCAAAAAAAGATTAACATCATCTACGCTTCTATGGCAAGATTCAACCAAAGAAAGAAAAAAATAAAAACAATCCAACCGCAAAAGCACAACAACAAACAAAACTTTCGTTTCCCTTCTCTCTCTGAACAATGTGCAACAGCAGCGGCAGAAGTAGCAGCATTCGAATGGAATGTTTCGCGAAGTTCAGTTTGGCTGAGCTCTCCCGATTCGATTCGCTTCCGAAGCGTGCAAGGAGAATATTCATCTATACCCATGGTTCCCCCCTTGTTGCTCGTTTAAGTCTCTCCGCTTGCGCAACCTCGCAATATTTTTATGAAAACCCTTAGAGGAGCTGTGATACGGTGGCGCCTTGCCTGATGTGAGATATTTGTTGAGTTTCTAATTGTAGGATTATTGAAGAACGGATCTATTCGTGATATTTAAACAAAATTACCCAGCTCAATAAGTGATAAATCCCAAAAACGTTCCATCGCTAACAAACTTCCTCCACAACGCAGCATAACACCAACTGATCGAATGAAAATGCCACTTCTGGCGCTGCTGTTGGTGATGTTGTTGGCCACTGCAAAAGAAAAGTCGCGTTTGTTGAACTTCGTGTCTGCCACGCTCTTCTTCTTCCATATTGCTTGCTTACGAACCAGTAGCGCCCCGGGCACTAGTAGCGGTTCACTGAATGCCAACCAGATACCTACATACCGGCAACGGCAGTTCTCGAACGAATGAACGCCGCTTACTTTATGCGTTCCGACAAGATCAGCTTTGTCCGGTGTTATTCTTCAAATAATAAAATTAATGCTCTGACACTTACCATTCATAACCATGGCTGTTTTCCACCCAAGTCTCAGCAGCGATCGGTAGTCGCTCCGATGTAGCTATTCGGCTTAATCCACAGAGTAATCTGCTTAGAACCTGTTCTATCAAAATCCACCAATAGAAGCTAATCTCTCTTCAGAAATTGCCCTGTTTCCACACAGCGATTTTTTCTGTATTTTGAGATATTACACCAAAGCTCAGCACTTGCACTTATTTATCAACTTGGTTCCTCTCTATCGGGTGGGACCAATAACTTAAGATCTGCAGCACAGATTTCAAGATTATTCACTTTGAACAAATTATAGCTCACTCAAAATAACAATTCCCCAAACTCGCACTGAGATAATTCGATTTTTTCGTTGTTTTCGTGACCCTTATTATTATGCACTGGCACGAACCGAGCAAAACATCACTCTTTTGCCTTATTCCGTTTTCCTACTTTGCACACTGACTTGACTTCTTCACTTTTTTCCGCTAATGTTGTAGCTTTTCAACTCTTTCTTCTCGGTTCTCTGTTTGTTTTCATCCGTCTCCTCTTTACCACAACTTCTTCTTTTTCTCCTTACCCCTCTTCTTCCGTGTGGTTTTCCTTTTCTGCTTCGCCAAACAGACGAAGGAAAAAACGTAATCCTACAAACTAAAAAGAAAAGCACTAGTGTACGACTTCAAGTCTCGGTAAAGACTGAATCGAATAATGCCTCTCGCACTCACGATATAGATGGACATGATGCAAAGATGTGCAACGGCAGCATAACAGTCAGTGAGCCCAACGACACCGGGCAACCGCATCTCACGTGGTGAACCGCATTCAGCTGCATGCAGTCCAAACCGGGAGCGAGTGAATGAAGTTTCACCCATTCCGGTGCCTTGCAGGGCCTGTGAATGATGAATTGGTGAGCTGTAGGTATGTGAGAATGCAGCTCGGGCATAAGTCGGAGAAACAAGCATTCGCTAGTGGCTTTGCTCTCCCGGTGTGTAAATGCCGCGCCGGTTCCGAAATCAACAACATAACAAACAAACTCAGGTGAATCGTCATGCCGGGCCCGGTTTGTTGCATAAAGTGTTTCCAAATGGAAATAAAAGAGAAGAGAGGATGAACTGCATGTTGCTATAAAAATTAATTGAAACATTCACGGATTTATGGCTGTTATGCTAGCTGGTGGTGATCGTGAGTGTCTGCCGGCTCGATCAACGAGGTAACTCAGTAACGGCTACAGCAGTTGGTAAATGCAATTGTAAGGTGCGCTAGCAGGCAGGCTCGTGCAACTTATTCGAAGCTTAACATATTGTGGTTCATTCTTAGTTCTTCGTAGCATGCGCATTGTGCACCAATAATGCAATGTTGATATGAGTTTGGTTTGTGGTGATTAATGCAATTGGGAACTTGTATTACTTGCACTGTTCATGTGATTTTTTATATCCAAATTGTGCTTTGGATAGCTATGAATGTTTGTTTACAAAGTCACTTCCAAAATGAATGACAAAAAATTGAGTACTGAAGGAATAAATCTGGGCCTCCACTTGCAAATCTATGACATACGGTCGAATGAAAAAAGGACGAATGGACAAAAGATCGTTGGGACAAAAAGCCGTCAAAATGATCTAATGGCCGAGGGGTGTTGGGCAAAAGGTTGAAAAAGACAATATATTGATTAGACAAAACGTCGAATGCAATGTTCAATATCTTTTAACTGTCAAAGAATTGCTGAATTGCTTAAGAAAGAGCCAATCCCAAGAGTAAGAAATAACTTTCAAGCATGTGCAGTTGGAGTATTCATAACACGTAAAACAAATGCAGGGCTGTTACAACATGCGCAGATTTCGCAATTATCGCTGAATTGCCGCATATTTGCGTTAAAATTGCGAACGGAAATGAAAATACAATTTATAAGTACATGTAGCATAAAGTATAAAACGCGCAAAAATTGGTCAACTTCAAATTGGTGTATTTCTGTTAAAAATGCATAAAAAACCTTGAAATACTGCATTTGGAAGTTGAGTGAATCCGACGTTCTCACACGCCAAGTTGGCAAAATTGCTGGATGTGGCCAAATCGACCATGACAAACGTTTTAAAAGTGTTCGTGGCGTGTCTGTCGACCGCCAGGAAGCCTGGAAGCGGCGGCAATCGTAATCCGGACGTGGCAGCGACGATGAAGAAGGTGGCGGTGAAATATAAGCAGAATTATAACCTCTCCATCCGGGACGTCAGTGACAAGCTCAATGCCTCGCATACTACTGTGCAGCGGGCCAAGAAACAAGCCGGGTTGTCGACGTTTAAGAAGGTGAAGGTGGCGAACCGAGATTACAAACAAAACACGTCGTCAAAGCAGCGGTCCCAAAAACTGTATACGAATCTGCTCGCAAAGTTCGACTAGGTCGTCATGAATGACGAAACTTATGTGAAGGCGGATTTCAAGCAGCTTCCGGGACAGGAGTTTTATACCGCATCAGGAAAAGGAAAGGTGGCTAAAATTTTCAAAACCATCAAACTATAGAAGTTCCCGAAAAATATCTAGTCTGGTAGGCCATATGCACGGGTGGTCTAAAAAGCGGCATTTTCATTACTACGGGAACCATCAATCAAGAGATCTACGAGTGCCTGGAAAGGCGGCTGCTACCATTCCTGAATCAACATAATAGACCTGTACTGTTCTGGCCGGACTTGGTGAGCTGCCACTATGGGAAAAAGGCAATCGAGTGGTACGATGCGAACAACGTGGTTGTAGTACCCAAAGACCACGACGCTCCCAACATCCCAGAACTCCACCCTATTGAACGGTATCGGGCCTTGGTCAAACGGAATCTAAAAAAAAAACTAAATAATCCATGGAAACCGGCGTTCGGCGGCGAATAAGGTCGATGAGACCACTGTGCAAAATTTAATGGAAAGGGTTAAGCGGAAGACACGGCAGTTCAGATTTGGCAAACAAAAAGAATAAAGGAACATTTTTAGCCTTTAAATATATGAATCGAACTACCAAACGAAAAATAAAACGATTTTTGTGATATGAATTTTGACTGAAAGAAACGATGTTTTTGTCGACCAATTTTTGCGCGTTGCAGTCTTTACTAAAGAGGGCGTTGAAATTCTGTTTAACTTGCTTCAGAAGATACCCTAACATGCTCTGCAATATGCATTCAATACGCTTAGAAGTCTTCTGGAACGACTTGCAATGTTCTACACACTTAGTTTTTTCTACCGAGCTCGGCTGTGCAAATCTCGGTAAAATAAGTTTCACTGATTTTCATTCACATTCACTGATGACATTAACTAGTTAACCATTTTTATGGATGATTCAGATCTTCACAAAACCTCCTCGTTGCCCATAATCATATTACAACTCCTAAAGGCTGACTAAAAGTAAATTGGTACACACAAAAAGATATGTAATTCGTGATTCAATGAGTTTAAAAAAGCCATTGCTTTACGGTCCTTTTAATAAAACTACGGCATTAGATGGTTACATTGCTCCAGTTTGAACGAAATCTCGAACCTTCCTCTTGATGGAACCCATCAGCGCTCGCACAGTGGAAACGGACACGAAATCAGCGCATTTCTTTCATTTTGCCCGCATTTGCTGGGTGCCCTTGACTGCCCCGCCGCTTCGTCGAAGTCGGCCAAGAAGAAGTTCGTCGCTGCTCTGAAATTGCCCAGTATTTTTCGATTAGTCGAAATTCCGGGCCATACGGAGGATTCATTAGCTTGGGGACAAAATCGATCTTGTTGGCAGTATACCACTCCAGAACCACCAGAGTAGTGGCAGCTGACGATTGGTTCCGTTTTCAGACCACAACTGCAAATCATAGCCTTCCTCGCGAACTTGTCCGCAAACACGAACTTCCCGGCCCATCTCCACGTTCAGTCGTGATGTAAAACTTTTGACCGGGAAGCTGCTTAAAATCGAATTTTACTTTATTTTACGTCATCGATCAAAGTGGTACAACCCTTGTGTTTCGTCAAAACACGGTCGTTCAAGAGCCTTGCACGCTTTTTGGCCACAGAATTCTGCTTCATGTGCCGGTTCGGATGTTTACTGGCTTTGTACAACTCGTATCCTTCCCTGGCAAGGATGTTTCGTATTGTTTGAAAGTTGGCGTTGTACCCTTCGGCCACATCTCAGATCGAAAGACCGGGTTTGGCTTTAACACACCCTCAACACCTTGCTGCGCAGCTGACGATCCATGGTTCAAGTTTTTTCGTAGGTCCGCTGATTCCTTTCCACACTCAGGGTTTCCTTGTAGGTTTGAGCACTGGACAAACTGATCTTTTCGACATCTTCAGTACTTTAACCAGCTTGGAACCGGATCACTCCGAATTTTCCAGGTGTTTGTGCACAATATTTTTTCTTCTTTCGAATTCCATTTGACGTTATTTCTGAACGCGATCGACTACTTTGATCAAACTTGCACTAGTTTTTCTCTATCGAAGTGTAAGCAAACCACTGTCAAAGATTTTCGATTCCCAACACTAAAGGCGTGCTAGCGGCGCGTGAGGGGCGTACCAATTTACTTGTAGTCAGCTTTTACTAAAACACATTAGTACAACAGCAAAACCTTGGAGAAAAAAAATCAATAATTCAACGATTAGTTTAATTAAGAAATATGTTTTACTGTTGTGGAACTTCTGAATTAACTTTCTGTGACCCCCATGATAAACAGGTTTAATACACCCTCCTTGAGAAAAGGCAGTTTTATTTTTACCGTTTTCACTGAAATTAACGAAACAATTACGTATATCCATTGCTTTGGGAATAAGAAATAACCTATAATCATTTATTTTTCTTCAATGGCAGGTAATATAGAAGTAAAGATTATTTTCGACAAGACTGCAAGCCTCTAAGGGAGGAGAGAATAATGAAGGAAGGTTGAAGGCCACAATATACCATATGTGCCAAAAGACCGGAATCCGACAAATCTGCCGCGGTGCCGTCCTATCCAGGATATTTTCAGTCTATTGAGCTCCATGGTATACAAGGATAATTGTAAGGCCAAAGACACCAAGCAACTCACCAACAGGATCAAAAGCTACATCCAGAAAATCGATTTGGCAGCCATCCAACATGTTCCAATATCAAGACTAAACTGCGCCGCATGGCGTACCATGGAACATATGCCAATATTTACTAAGTTCAGTTTGAAGACTTAAGTTAACACTTTGTATGAAATAAATCAGTTTGAACTAAACTTCACTTGTGTTTTTTCGCGACTCATTCTTATCAATTTCATTTTTAGTGGACACCCATTATATTTCAAAAAGTGATGGAACAAGACCTACGTGGTTTAAAACATGTCACATGCTATTTGGACGATGTATTGATTGCTGGGAAGAATTGCCTGTGGTCATATTTTAACACTCCGAATACGGTGGGTAAAAAACTTTTCGCCGACTACGAAGCCTCCGAAAAGCGTGTAACGGCAAGTTTGCAGTAACATAATTTAGCCATTTCTTGATGAATTTCAAAAATTGTGGTACCCTAGGGTCTTTAGATTATTTTGACCTTAACAAATGAAAGTAGAGGCGTATACTTTTTTTTAAAGCGAAAAGAGTCGTTACACGTTTTTTTTAAAGCGTGTTTATGGGTTTTGCAAGTGGCTTAAGATCTATAATTTAGACCAATGTGCAAAAATGTTCATAATTAGCCAGAATTCACTCATTGTTT